GGCGGTGCGGTGGCTTAGTGGAAACGGTGGTCGACAACCGGCGGGAGGAGAGGTGTAGCCGCTAAACCCTAGGCTTCACCGGGGGTCTGCTCGGACGACCGCGGAGTCTGCGGAGACGACGAACAGGAGGAAAGGGAATGAACAAGAGAGGATGGTGGGAGCCGGATGTGTTGGGCTGTAGCCTGATGTGGCTTCGAGTTGTTTCCTGACTTACCGACTTAGGACAGTGGGCTAACCGCCGTGTGGGTTAGGCCCATGCCTCTACGAGATTGTTTGTGTGGGCTGATGCAGCCCATGCTACGGCTGCTGGTATTAGGCTATTTCGAGTTTCATTTCGCGGTTTTTAAACTCTACCTCTGTTCTCATAGCATAGGCAATGGCCTTACCTTGGCGGCAAAAAGATTTGCAAAAATTCTACATTACACTGTCATCAAGTGCTCCTCAGATAACCAAAACCTGGTCACTCTCCTCATTCCTCAATTCAAAGTCAGGTCACAATAATATCACATTGGAGATTAGTACCTCTGATAGAAGATTTCAAATCTCTCAACACAGCAGTGGATTGCAGGATATTCAAAATGCCAAGAAGCCAGAACTGCACCCTCACTCATTAGCACATCAGGCAAAAAAAATGATACAAGGCCCTATACTTCCTTCACATGTCCAAACCCCTGCACACCCCTAGATGCCCAGTGCAACAGGCCCTCTCTAATGTACCCTGGATCCCCTTGGACCTAATTCATGTATGTTGTACTTGATGTTTATAATGCTTAATGAAGTTCCTTAACAAAAAATAGATGTTTGAAATGATCAATGAAACAAGATCTTCCATGCATAGTTTCATTTAGTTCCATAAGGTAGCCAAAACATTTAGTTACAATGCACGAGATTGAGATAGTCAGATGAAATAAAACTCTCTATCCCTTTGTGCTAGTTTCAGTGTGTTTTATAGTGGTAGAACATTATACACCTAGTTTCATCCTATTGAAATCCATCTCATCTCTCTACATAAATTTCTCGCATGTCAATATTTTTGTGTATGTGATATCTTATCTAATGAGATTGAAACCTCTACAAAACCACCACTAAGAATAGCCTAAAAGTTAACGAGACGATTGACCGTATGTACCATCGGAAAATTCATTGTGATTCCTATACTAGCTTTTAAACTTTTTTCTGCCCCGTGCAACTTTCGTCAATAACTATTAACTTTCTAACAGGGTATCGAGAGGAAGGAATAAATTAAAGGCTAGTATAGTATAGAAGGTAGTGGAACCTTTGCCATGATAGCTCCAGAACAAATAAATTCATAATATTGTCACATATAATCAGATAAATACAAAATTTATATGAAAATTGTAGAGATCAATAAGATCTAAATCTTTGTAGTTCACGACATTTTCATTTCAGATCGTTTAAGAGCAGTGGTGGATCCAGAAACGGACCAAGAGGGGGGGGGGGCTAAATAATAGAAGACTTAAAATGGTACTAGCAAAGTAGTCATAAACTAATAGATTTTACAAAGAACATAAATGATGATATGGATTCAAAGTGCTCAAAATATCAATAAGAATAGAAAGGGGGTGGGTTGTCAGCTTGGTTGGGCTGTGGAGAGGGCTGTTGGGCCAGGTTTGAAGACATGCTCCTTGGTTTTTCGGGCAGCCCCACCAGCCAACCCCCCCCCACTCTCCCCGCGGCTCCCCCCCTGTTTAGGAGCGCACTCACATATTATGAAATTCAATTTTTTAAAATTTTCAAATGATTTCGGATGCAAATACACCGTATGTCAAAGTTCTAGTGCTTTACGAGATCTAAAACTTTGTAGTTGAAAATGTCTCGTTAACATAATTTAGAAGCCAAAATATTTAATATAAGATTTTTAATGTGTCGTTTAGTTTTTTAGGCAATTCCCTCTATACCACTCACGGAGTTAACAGATGGAAGTGGCATCATGAGGAAGAAAATTTAAAAGCTAGTATAAGAGTCGCAACATAAACTTTTTAATAATTTGTCTCGAAGTTAATATACAGTGACCGCACATAACGGTGTCCGTCACTTTAACCTCAACAAAAGTGGCGGGCTTCGTCTTACACCCATCACTTTTTACACAAGTGATGATGGGTGGCTGTCCGTTTTCTTTATTGATCCTTTTAGACGGCCTACGGCCACATACTGTGTACGTGTAGGATGACTATCGCTTCATGAGTTAACGGCGTACGCCGGTCATTATTTAGCTGGTATTTTTTTCGAGATCATATCCTATGGCATATTTTTCATTAAGAAGAAGTAGAGTGTTACAAGTCACATAGGACTCACAGGTAATCCAAAGATTACCACACAGTCCGAAAAATAAAAACGAGCACCAAGAGAAAACAGGGCGGGGGGGGGACCTCAGCCTCAAGACCCTATCAGACTGAGACTATGAAAGAATGACAACATATTGGTAGCCTAAAGTGCAGTCAAACCGCGATGGCGACGAGGCGAGCTTCCAATAGCAAAGGCGGCAAAGCATCTGCCATAGAAAGGACCAATCGGCTCGGCGGCCAAGCATATGCCAAGGAAGCTGATACGACGTCAGCGGCAAAGAAGGACCACACGTCCTCGGCAGCAAAGCATCCACCAAAGAAGCCGATACGACAACAGCGGCAAATATCCACGAGAGGAACCACGGCGCCAAGCATCCGCCGAAAGAGACGCATTAGGTAGCGGCAAAATATTCGCTACCACCGCATCAAGCGAACCAGCAAAAATGCAGCGGCAAAGTATCCGCTCGGCGAAAACACACCAAAGCAAAGAAAGTATCCGCCAGAGAAGCGACAAGGAAGCGCCAAGCATCGCCAAGAAGCGACCACACTATAGGATGAACCACGAGCGTTGAAGGACATGAGGCGTGCACAGCACGACCAAAAGATCCATCGCCAACCGGATGAACTGCAGGAGCACTAACGACACCGGCGACCATGCGCAACACCGAGGAGGAAGGCAACCCAGCAGCCCATGACATGGAACTTCAGAGGCAACGCCTCCAAGGAGGATTGCGACGCAGATAGCGCCGCCACTGTCTGCCCAGAAGGAGCTAGGTTTTCACCTAGAAGATCTAGGCCGGCAGGAGAGGGAGGTGCAACGACATATGCCTTCAAGAAGGAAAACGGCGCCCCAAGGGCATCACCATCGTTATTAAACAGCTAGGCCTTCGCCAGCACCACACCACCAAGACGCAGACCACGGCGAGAGGCAGCAGGCGGCGCAGCCACGAGACGGTCCACGAGCCAGACAAACCAAGACGCAGAGGCGGTGGGGGGCGCGAGCGGCCGCCGCCGCCTGGGCGACCACCGGGCTTGCGAGACGCCAAGCCCTGCCATGCATTCGACCCGCCCAGCCACCGGGAGCCCGGTGAGCCTGACGGCAGCCGCCGCTCGCCCCATACCTCTGAATGGCCAAGCCTGGAAGCGCCTGCACGAGGTAGCCGCCGCCCTAACCGCCATGGCCAAGAACCCGCCGCCAAGTCTCTCCAAGGCGCAGGAAGGCGTGGGAGGTTAGATCCGGCACCGGGAATAATAGATCGCGTGGAGGCATGGCCGGATCTGGCCTCCAGTGACCGGCAGCAAGCACACTGGCAGTGGAGAAGTCGATGGGGTCGAAGCTGGAGGGGTGGATATAGAGGGGCGGGGGAAAGAGAACGAGGTGCGGACGGCCGCCCCTTTTGAAGAGCCGCCGTGTCCGCCGCCGCCATTCACCTGAGAGCGGCGGCGGCGGCCAGGGAGCAACCGGCGGTGGGGAGGAGTTGCGGTAGAGGCCAGACGCCCCCAAGTCGCCTCACGAAGGAGACGACCCGGGGTCGGGGAAGGGAAAGCCGATCAACTCTTTACTCCTTATTGATTATGCTTTGCCGGCCGTACTCATGCATGAGTAGTGCTATTTAGCTAGTCTTATCTTTACCTATAAAAGAAATTTAGCAGGTCTTATGCCGTGTAATACCTCTTAGGATTAATAAAGTCATTATAGATGTATCGATGTTCATGAGCAATATAAAACTCATTGTACCGAGTTAAGGACCGACTACCCACGAGGCCACGACGTGAGAGAGAGAGAGAGAGCACCGGGTCCCACCATTGTGCGGGACGATGACTTCTAGGCCGCGTTTAGTTCCACAGGATTCCAGAATTTGACACTATGCAAAAACAAGATTCTCCGTCACATCAAATTTGCGGTACATGCATGGAGTACTAAATATTGATGAAATCAAAAACTAATTGCATAGTTTGGTTGTACTTTACGAGACGAACATTTTGAGCCTAATTAGTCAACAATTGGATAATTATTACCAAATAAAAACAAAACGACACTGTATCTACAGTGCAGCTACAGTGTTCCTGCCGGCGCCAATTCGGCGGAACTAAACGAGGCCAGTCGAGAAAAGTTACCTGCCTCGATGCTGAGCCGCCTGGGCAATTAAACAAATATTTTTGTACAAGGGCAGCACTTGAGAAAGAAAGGAAATATTTTCACTTATTAGATCCCACTTGTACTACCAGCATCGATGCAAATATTGCATCTCTGATCCGATTGTGGGCATCGATGAAACTTGGCAGGGGAATCTCTTTGGCACCGACTCTGCTGTGGCTAGTCTAAAACTGGGTGTACAAAAATACATGTTCACATATATACACGAGATTAACAAAGTCACTATAGATGTATCATTGTTCACGAGCAACATAAGCACATGGTGCTAAGTCAAGGACCCGGACTGGGTATGGTTATAAAAAATACACGGCATATATGTAATGTATAGTATAATATAAAGCAAGAATTTCATGTAGGAATACAAGTACGAATAAATCAAATAACATATCCCATAAATCTTGAATGAACATAATTTAAAGCAAGAATTTATCAAACAATTCGTATGAAAAAATTGTATTATATATATACTAGTATGTTCCTGTCGATGGACAAATCCTAAATCATGGACACATAATCGAAGAGCTGACAACTCCTCGTCACTCATCGGAGAGCTTGTCGAGCAGCATCCGCATCACCTTGACCTGCACCTGCAAGTCCTCGATGTAGGTCGCCGTGTCTTGGAACAGCTCGCCGAGCCCGCATGGCTCGCGGCAGACTGGCACCAGCCTCCGTAGCTCCCTCACCTGCTTCACCAGTCTAGAATCCTCCACCATGTCCCTCTCGCTAATCGCCGGCGGCGCCAGCGGTCGTGTCGCCTTGCTCCTGCTATCTCCTCTCATCCTCGATCGATCGTCCAGCACCTGCCTTCGCCGCCGCCGGCAGCCGGAAGGGAAGAGCGCTGAGGATGAGCTGATCGATCGAGGAGGAGGGAGTGGTCTTCTTGGACGGAACAAGGCAATAAGGCACGTCGTCACCCGGGCAAAGGCAATGAGTGCGCACGCATATATAGCTGCAATCTTTGTTGTTTACACCATGGATGGATAGGGATATGATGATCTCGAGAACATGGGAGCGCGCACAATACCCAATCATGTGTGCCGGGCGGCCGGTGCGGCTTCCAGATGCGCATGTCCGAACCGTCACCGCGAAACACACGCAACAGGGTGCGCGCGCGGCTTATTCTAATGGCGCCGTTGCTGCGGTTGGCGGGACACGGGCCGGCGATGCAAACGCAGCGCGGTGATTCTATATTGCCGCCGACGACGACGACGCACAGCCGGCGGCGCGCGCGGCTTCGCGGAAAGCCTTGCGTCGTCATGCCGATCGATCGATCGACCAAGCAATGAATAGGTAGAGCGAGCGTGCGTGCATGGGTGTGTGGTCTGTTTGGCGCTGGCGCGTTGTTGCAGCTGGGAGCGAGCACATGCAACCACATGCACGAGGCCGCCATTGACATCCAACAATCCGGAACGCCAGCTGCAACAGATGCACCCGTCGCTATTATATCGGCCGATCCCTTCTCTGTACATGTGTGTGTTGCATGAAGGCGTGCATGCATGCTTGCTATGAGATGTCGCTTGCATTGCTTTGCTTGCCTATAGCTTCCATGCCCTTTTGTCACTGCAACACCCTGGATTATTCTCTCGTCTGCACCTTTCCGTTGCCCGTAGCCATCAGCAATCTAATCTGCATATTTTAGCACGTTAGGAAGGCTTGGGAGAGACTCCTAATCACGCACTAATTAATTAATCAGCCCTTGCACCGTCATTCCAGCTCAATGCGCATGTGTGGTGTAGTGCATTTTCAGCCAATAGGTCCCTTAGCTTCCCTTGCACAGAGAGACGTGTGCGTGGTTGGTTAGCCGGCAAACTTAATTAATTGGCCGCGCATTATTGGATACATCGATGACACGTTCGTGCTAACCATCTGTCAAGTTGTAAATTAAGGAGGCTGATGATTAACGTTATTTTCCGATCACTAATTTATTGACTATATATTAGCAGGGGTTTGCACCGAACGAAGCTGCGTTCACACACAGATCGATGTCAATGCTGCAACACTCGGTGCTGTGTTTGTTGTTTATTTCCATACTGCACATCCATCTCTGAAGTTTCAATTAACAAATTTGCAGTGCAATTATTTTCCTTTTATTTATGTAGTTAAGTCTACCACACAATATTGGACTATACGGCGGCTAAGGCATTGTCACCCTGATAAGCAGAACTTTTGCATTGATATAGCAGGGTGATGCGAAGGATTTCAGCACCAAAAGGTTAAATAATAAACTGCATAATGCGTAAACACTTTTTAACGATGTCTTCTCTAATGAGTTACACTAATGCTGAATGCATGTTGCTCTCAGTGTGATGATATACATATATTATTCTCGCCTACGCCGTTGCAGCGCTCCAGTCCTCGCTTCCTGCCTGCTTTCGTAGGCGTCCTCATCGTCCTCTTGCTTCCGCCTCTGGAGTGGGTATCCGTCTGGACTTGGATTGAGCTCTCCTTTCGCGGGCGCGCTTGGTCTCTTTAATCGTCCGGCTGGTTTCTCGCCAGCCTCGCTGCCCATGAGAGTGGCGTCGTGTCGGCGGCCCATGCCGGTGGCGGTGCGGGAACAAAGCGCGAGGCGGCGCGCTTTGTCGCCGTCTTGGGCTGACATGACTTGAGCCTTGAGGCGGCAGCAATGGTGGCGGCGGCGACACCACCGTGGGAGCTGGGCAGTTCGCCGTGTCTCGGGCGGAGCTGGGCAGAGCTTAGGAGGACGGCGCGCAGAGGACGAGCTGCTGGTGTTGGTTGGTGCGCTCATAGGCAAATCTGACATACGGCAGGCAGGTGAGTGTACTGTCTTGCAGGGAGCAGCACGAGCACTTGTCCGGCACGGCGGAGGCGGGTTACCATTGCTGATGTCCGGCACCTGTTCGACGGATTGCGTCAGTAGGGGAAATTGAATCCCAGGTATGTCTCGACATAAGTGCTTGACAGTGAAGTAGCGGATAGTAGTAGAAGCGTGGAGAAGAGGAGCTGTGTGCTGGTACATTGCTCATAAGCTAAACCCCTGTTCGGGAGGCCGTAAACGATCGTGGATTATTTACTGCTGGCTGGTTTGGTGTGAGAGAAAAACACTGTTCCTGGCTGGAAATTTACGATCGTTTACGAGCAAGCGAACATGCTAAGTCCACTAAGCATTGTATGTTAATGGCGGAGCAAATGGGGTTCAACAGAGGTTCGGTGGTGTCAGGGAGCCTTAAACGGCGACACTCTGCACCATATCTTTCGACCTTAGAACAGTTTGTCGGAGCTGAAAAACCATGGAGGGGATCGAGATTCTGGGCACTTGAAGATGATGACAATGGTGAGAGTGATGACGATGTTATCAAAAAGGAGGGGGAAGATCCGGATGAAGAAGCTTATAATTCTGAAAGTGAATTCATCCGTGATGCAACACGAGTCGGGTTTTCGGTAGATGATTTGATAAGAGCGAGTCTCTCATTAACGGAGAATTTTCAGTCTCCAAAATTTGCTTCAGTTGATAGGGGGGCTGGGCATGTTAGCCATCCCCGGCGGCTGGCATCTAGAATTACGGAGGCGGTGGCTGATCTGCGCTTCCAGAGAACCGAGAAATCGTGGAAGGGGCCGTTGCCTAAACCACGGTCCCCACAAAATGGCAGATCGGAGACATTATGGTCAAGAATCTTAGACGATCCAAATCTCTGAGGACAACAAAATCTTTAAGAGATTTGTGTTCAGAGGAGGGTGGATGCGTTAACTCTAGCCTAGGAGAAAGGAAAGGAGGGGGGACAGGATCGGCTGAGAGAAGGGGGCGGTCATTGGGCCGTCCAAAGGTGTGTGAGCTGGGTGAGCCCGCGGACAGCAAATTAATTAATGTTGGTTCACACCCCGCGTTTAGACCAACTAAGGGTTTATGTCTCCTGTTTAATGCCGGGGGGGTGCCGAGGAGTTTGGCGGTGAGAGGGGAGAACTTAAACGCTTTGACTTAGGCTCGGAGGGTTCTTACGAGTCTCAACCAAAAACGCCCGTCTGTTGGACCTAGGGTCTGTGAGCGCAAAGCAGAGGGGGTAGCGAGCTCGGCAAGGATGGTGGGTGATTGTGACATGCGTGGGCGAGATGAGAGGATGGGCGCAGGCGCGTATGGCCCTTATCATTGTGATCAGGGCGTAGCAGGCATGGGAAGAAGTTGGGGCGGGCGGGAGAGTTGGGCCTGGAGAGGTGGTGCTCAACGGGGCGATTTCAGAAGAGGGCACTCTGGAAGGTTTGGTGGTTTTGGTAGGGGACGAGCTGGGCAGTATCTTCTGCCAGGTGGAGCTGGGAGAGGTGGACCTTTGGAGCCGACGTCTAGAAGATGGGTGTGGCATGAAGATGGGCGACAGACCCATGTTCAAGGAAAAGGAGATGAGGCTGGCGAGTTTTCTGAAGCCAATGGGGGTGCTTCCGAGCTGGAGAAAGACACTGATGTGGAAATGTCATTAGTGGTTGAGGAGGGCAGGGATGGAGGCGATGCTGGTAAGGAGAGTGGGTGTTGCTCTAGGTGCTCAAAAAAGGGGCATGCATCGGCGGCTTGCAAGGTGGAGGTGTATTGTGTGTTATGCGACTCGCATGAACCACAAGTGCCCTCTTCTTAAAGCACCGAGGCCGGTGGCTTATGCGGCGGGTTATGCAGTGATGGGGCTGGGATTCTATCATATCCCGCATCCACCGTTGCCAAGGACGAAGAAAGACTCCAAGATGGCCAGAGTCTCGGTGGTGGGTGGCTCTCTGTCCGCCGACCAGCTAGTGTTGCAGCTAAGAAGGGTGGTGCCGATTAAGTAGAATTGGGAGTTGATGGAGCTTGGGGAAGACGAGTTTCTTACCCAATTCCCTTCCAAGGCTGAGCTGTTACGTTCAATAGCATATGGGGGAGCGGATGCAAAGGGGGAAGGAGTGCCTGATGGTATTAGAATGCAGTTTGAAGAGTGGCATGAAAAAGAAGAGGGCTTCCTGCTACCCAAGGTGTGGGTGAGGGTGAGATGCATCAGAAAACCATTTTGTGAGTTCCCCATCTTATGGGCAGTGGGATCTCTGTTAGATGCGACGTAGACTGTGGACATGGAGACCACGAGGAAGAATGAGTTTGGACGCATTTTAGTTGAGGTGCTTGATCCTAAGCTGATTCCGAGGATGATAGATGTGGTGATTGGTGATCATTATTTTGACTTGGAGTTTGAAGTGGAGAAGAGGTGTTTTGATGAGAAAGGAGAGGAGGTTGATGTTGAATGGATGGCAGGGAAGGCGAGGGAGATGGAGAGGGGAAGAGCCAGGGTCCAAACAGTGACGATGGACTGAATAATGATCAAAAGAAGCTGAGAAATAACAAGCGCTATAAAGGGAGTGACGGGGAGGACAATAGGAGGGATTCCCGATCAGAGAATGATGTTCCTGTTAATGGGCATGTTCTCAGTAAGGAGGAATTTGAAGAATTCCTTAGTTGGAAGGCCAGCAAGATACTCGATGAAGTGGTGGAAGAGGTTTTGGAGGACCTAGCTGATAAAGTGGTGAAAGAGTCGGATGACTCCATGGAGGGGGCAACTGATAACCTTGGGTTGGCTAAGGTTAATTCAGAGTACGTGGATGTTGGAGGGGTTCTAATGGAAGTGGAAGGATGTGCTGCAGTTCCATAGATCAAGGAGCTGGGTGAAGATGCAAAAGTTTTTACTAAAGAAGAAAGGGAGAAGAGTTGCTCGGTGATGGATGTGGTCGAACCTGCTAGTACGAAGCTCGTAGGAGCTGCATTAATCAAGGAGGTGGTCCATTCTCTGACAAGGGCGAGTCCAAGGCTTGCTGG